AGGTTGAGAAAAAGGGCGGTGGGATGGCAGCCTGAGCTAAGGCGTGGCTGTGCATATTGTAAAGCCGGTCCAATGCAATCAGCTTCGACATCAGCCTCTCAAGGCTCTGTTAGGAGAAAGATTCCTCGCTGGGGTAATGGTCACCTGCATGATGCGTCCAGTGAGTGGAGACCGCATGTGTCCAAAGTGCAGTGGCATCGCTAGGTCGAATGAGAGCGTTCGCGCGCAAACAGCGTGGCTCCAAGCAAGGCTGAGTGGCGTTCACTCTGAATTTTGGGATTAAGATCCTTTGCGCACGAAGGGCGACTGAAGTGGCTGAGATGCATGCTGCTGTGGATACGGACGCATCATTACCGACTCTGGTGAGAAGAACCGGCGACGCCGGTCGTGAAGTGCGGGCTAGCCGGTGAGTCAAACGCCCACCATGGTACCGTAGGGAGGGCGCTGACTCGAAAGCTTAGCGAGGTAGCAGCAAGGCAGCCGCAGGGTCGAGGTGTGACGGGGTTGGTTCATTTGCAGATGGCGAAGTGAGGGCTGTGGCGCACCGGTGGGCAGCAATCCTCCGCATGTTCGGGTTAGCGTGTTCTTCTATATGGTCTTGGCACTATACAGCATCACCACGCGGGCTGGGAATTCGCCCCGAAGACTCACTGGTTGTTCGCGACTTAGGGTAGTGTTAAACAATCGTTCGTGTGTGATGGTGTCACAGAGCAGAATGATGTAGAAGTGGTGATGAGATTTCATTGGTAGACATGCCGTCTGGATATCAAACGCCCCTACGCCCTTTCTTTTGCCGTACATCTATGCTAGCCCTAGTTACCCAACCAGTCTAGAAACTCTGGCGTGAAGTAGCTGACCACTATTGAAGCTCCCGCTCGGAGTATGCCCTGCGTAGCCTCTTCCGCCATCTGCCTCAAGTCGAACACACCTGCAGCTGCGGCCGCGTGGATCATAGCGTATTCTCCAGACACCTGGTACGCTGCAATGGGCATGTCCTTGCCAATTTCCTTCGCGTCGCTAATGATGTCGAGGTACTGGCTCGCAGGCTTGACCATAATGATATCCGCACCCTCACCAATATCTCTGACAATGGCTCGTCGTGCCAGACCGCGGCCGCCGGGAGGTAATTGGTAGCATCTTCGGTCGCCGAACGAGGGCACTGAGCCTGCAGCGTCGCGGAACGGACCGTATAAACATCCTGAGAACTTGGCGGCATACGACATCAGCACGACCTGGTGCGAGATGCCGGCTTCGATGAGCCTCAGCTTAATGGCGCGTATGCGACCGTCGTTCATGTCCGAAGGCGCCACGCAATGCGCGCCGGCATTGGCATATGAGAGCGCCACATCCGCGATTCGCTCTACTGACAATGCATTGTTCAAGCTACCATCCTCCTTGAGGATACCGCAATGACCGTGTGAGGTGTATTCGCAGAGGCAGACGTCGGCAACGATGAAGAGGTCGGGGAATGCTCGTCGCAGCAGACGGATGGCTTTGATCACGGGGCCCTTGGGGTCGTCTGCGTTGGTACCCAAGGCGTCCTTTGCTGAGGGTGCGAGTGGTACTCCGAACAGTATGACCGACTTCAGGCCCTTCGCGACGAGCGGGGTGAGGTATGGCACGACCTTGTTCAGGCCTCGGCGGTGGATGTTCGGTAGGGAGGGAATGAGGATTTCTTCATCGGGCTGGTCGGAAATGAAGAGGGGGTAGATGAGCATCGACTGCACTGCATGTTAGCTTCCGTCATAGGCTCATGGCGTCATTCCTCTCACCTTTGTGAGTTGTCGCTCGGCCTGCCATGCTCGTGACAGAGGGTGGCTGTATCCTCCATGCAATTGGCTCTTGATATCTCCGGATATGCTCACGCTCGTCGCGGCAGTGCTGGCGTAGGATCGGGTGGAACGCGCTTCCGATATTTGAGAGCGCAGGTCGGGTCGCTCTGGCCGCTCCGAATTGTTCCGGTATGCGATGTCTGAGACGAGCGAGGAGAACGACATGGCAGAGAGAAAGCAATAATGTCTTGTAGGTTGGTGAAGGAATCGAAAAGTTCAAGTCCCGCCTGTGCAAAGAAAGTGGAATGCCGCTGACGTTGGCGTCGGGGAAAGGTGGCGTTCGTAGTAAATGCGGACAGCCGAGGCGTCAAGTTTCACTCCGACTATAGCGATCGCACTTTGAGTTTCAGAAAATCGGAGAACGGACAAACGCAGAGACGAGATGGGGGTATCGGAATGAAGAGAACAATTTGAAGCGCAATTCCTTAAAAGATTGTGAAATCTACACGGTTTGCGACGACTACTATACGCATGTCAGCTGCAAATTGTCTCCGGTGTCCAATCAGATGCGCAGGATTACTGAGAATCAGATGTGGCCTAGCGTCGGATGGTGTTAGTCAGCTTCCAGGTCGAGAAGTCGGGACAGTCTCGGGAATCTTGGAAGCGCATCGAGCTTCATCACATGATGCATCGCCGAAGTAAACACCTGCGCAGTCGCGCTCCAAGCGCACACGATCGATCCTCAGCCTCTTCCACGACAAGATGATGTCGTTGTTTCGAGTCGCGAGAACCCAGCGGGGCGCATGCCTTTTATGACGATGTGGCTGGCTCTCAATTTCCCGTATCTGGCCGTCTGTCTACCCACCATCGCAACTTCCACCCTTTCATCGGCCCGTCTACAATGGAGTCTTACTTTTGTCTTATACAGTCGCCATCGTTCAGTAATCGGGATATCTGTCGCCGCCGCTGATCAACATCAATCTCAACATGACCGGACATGGCTGCTTTGCAAAGTTACTCCTCAACTCAACAATGTGAACGCGCAGTATGCGATGCGAGCCAGCACCAACATTAACATGGTACCGCAGTATCCAATTCAGATGCAGACGCCAGGCAGATAACGCCACGTACGAAGTCTCTGTCGTATACCCACCAAAACCAATACGGACAGGACCCTCAAAGCAAAAAGCAACACCAGAAAACGAAAACATCAGCTTCGGAATGCGATGCGTTGAGACGAAGGGCAAAGCGGGGTCGCCTTCTCAACCTATGAGCACTTTCGATAACCCACTGTATTCGCTTACGGCTCGCATGGACACAACGTGTATACCGACGTCGTGCTTTCTTTTTCCGACATCCCAAGACCCCGCTGCCCCTAGCTTGAACCCTAACGTCGAAAACAAACATCACAAAGCAAAACCTCTATACCTAGCGACCACAGCCAGCACTCGGTTAGGCTAAGAAGAGAGACTCCGTCCAATAGTGCTACACCATCATTTTCATTATTCCTACTAGTCTAGGAGCACTGGGCGCTACTCCGAGTGCCGCGTCGCTCCCTTGACGGTTTTCACTGCAAGCCGACAGAAACGGCAGTCCACAATCACTGTACTGACATGGATGATTGCGCGCCGTCAGCGCGGGGCAGCTAACGTTAGACCCCGTAGGCCGTTCATCATCTCGGTGTTGCGCATATCACGACAAACAAAGTATAAGCCGTGCGTCTTGTGAAAGATAAACACCAGGTATATATGTAGAGGGCATGCAAGGCACACGAATCCTTCCTCACCCCTGCAAACATCACAACTCAACTCAACTCGGTGACTCGATTGTCTGTTTCAATCATGTCTGACCTACGCGCCCCCACCGTTGCTGTCAACTTGACACTGATTGTTTTGACTTCACTCGCTATTAGCTGTCGTGTTGGGAGAAAAATTAAGATAATGAGCAGCTTTGGCTGGCATGATGGTGAGCTCAGTCCATTTATTTCCACACGAGTCATCATACTAACTGACATGAAGCTCTTGCTGTCTTTGCCGGAACTTGCGCCATCGTTCTATCGTGTATCCAGATGTATGCGACACGTCTGGGAGCTGGTCTGCACGAGGCAGACATCGACCCGGCCAACATGGAGATGCTCCTCAAGGTACATCAAACCCAACCCACAATCACCATCTTCCACTTACTGACTCAACACCCCAGATGGTCATGGCCGCCCTCATCTTCTACTTCTCCGTCAACTGGGCCGTCAAGCACTCGCTACTGATCTTCTACACCGAGCTCACCTTCGAGCCGTGGGCCCGCCGCTGCATCTTCATCATGCACATCGTCGCCTTCTCCTTCGGTCTCACCTGCGTCGTAACCAGCATCTTCCAATGCGTCCCCGTGGCAAAATGGTGGGACCCAACCATCGAGGGCTACTGCATCAACCTGAGCGATTTCTCCTACTTCAACTCAGTCTTCATGGTGGCCTGCGATGCCGTCCTTTATATTCTCCCCGTCATCTTCACCTGGAATGTCAAGCTCAGGCGCCACCACCGCATCGCCGTCAACTTTCTCTTCGCCTTGGGCGGACTCGTCCTCGCTGCGAGCGCAACTCGCGTCTACTTCGTCCACCGACTCGCCGTCATGGGGGACTTCCCCTTCCAATACGCTGCGTCTATGATTTGCGCCGTTGTGGAGAACCATCTCGCCGTCATCGTTGCCTGCGCACCGAGCATCAAGGCCGTCCTCATCCGCTACTACCCCAGCCTGCAAAGCAAGTTCGAACGCATCATCAGCGACGAGGGCTCCGGCTCAAAAGGCAAAGCATACCGGACTGGGAGCAGCGATCGTGCTACATATGACCCTGAGGCTGGAACCAATGGCAGCGAAGATGTCAAGCTGCAGATTGTTAAGACGCAGGATGTCAAGATTGAAAGGCCAGATGCGAACCGCATGATTACAGGTAGCAGTGGCAAGAGTGAAGGTAGTCTGCTAGGACGCTGGTGGCGGGCACCTAACAACTGGAACGTCAGCGTCGAGAGCCAAGGGAAATAAGTTGGAAGATTTTGTATATTCGTAGTCGTCTCGAGGTTGATTCCCCCTTGCTTCTGTTCAGTATCATACCCATGTAGTCCTCAACCACCAAGTTCATCTTCACATCCACTACTTCTCACACCTCCGTCCTCCTCCACGCCCCCTCATCATCTCCTAATCTCACCCCCAAACCACCCCGAATACCTCCCGCCCTCATTCCACATCCTCCCACTCCTCATCCCCACCCCCAACCCTCGGCACCCCACCCGGCCCCAACAACGGCCTATTCCCTCCCGTCCCAATATGTACGAAGCCAAAAGGCTCACCAATGCACATCTCCCTCTCCTCCTCATACTCCACTTCCCTTTCACCGAAACCAAGCGCAATCTTGATCTTAGCCCACAATCTCTTCCAAAAACCGTCTGACTCCGGGATCTCGGCTTCGGTGACAGGCTGCGGCAGCGCGGTGATGCTGGTGTCTTGCGCGTCTTTGAGGTTGGCGAGTGTGGGGTTCGCGAGGTGGTGGGATGTGTTTGGCCGTGAAGAGGAATTGGCGTCGGCGAAGAGGATGGAGGTCATGGGGAGGAGGTGCTTTGAGTCGTTTTGGGCCATTTTGTTTTGGGGCGCGAAAGCGTGTAGTGTAGGTGTAGTGTGTATAGTGTGATGTGCTTTGTGCGCTGGTGTCTGTCAGTGGCTGTATTGCAAGGCTTTGCAATGCGAGTGTAGAGGTACGGCGAGGTTGCAGCTGGCTACGAGTCTGAGGGACGAGAGACGTCTCTTTGTTGTGATCGTGGCGCGTGTCTCAGTTCGTTTGTTCGGAGGTTGCGTCATTGCGCAAACGGTGGGTTGGATGCGATGGCGAACGCGAGTTGCGTACGCGGGGTACGGGCGCGCTCATAGTGGTCTGATTGTTGGGCTGAATAAAGCCTTCATATTGTTATGAGCAGAGTTATTCTCCACGGACTGTGTTATGCGCTGGAGTAAAGTGCGAGCTCCCATCGAATCCGTGTACTACTACAACGCGACTGTCCCGTCATCTGGGCCGGATGGCGACGGCTCTTGATCTATTCAGCGGTACAGACTTTGTGCGGTGTACCATTTGATGCGAGAACCTATAGTCTGGCCTGATGGCCTGTTCATAACCAATTATCGTGAGCTGCATAGGAACATAGCTCAGGCCTTGGGTCAAATCATACTGCAAACGCGCTCACCGTCTCCTTGGCTTGGGCATCACAGCCGATCCCAGGCAGAACTGGACCTCATTCCTTGCTCTTGAACAATTGTATAGTGCTATCACAACATCTAGGGAGTAGCGGCAAACGAGCTAGGGTGTGTTTCGTATATCGAGGAAGGCGCGGTGGTACTTCGGTTGTCGTCGCGTCCACTCCAAGGCTTGTTCGTTGTTGCTGCCCGTACGCGATCAGAATTGTATAAAATCCCAGAATCTTGCCTAAAAAAAGAGAGAAAAAAGTCGCATATGAAAGAGCGTTCGAGGTGGAAGAATGCGCGTTCAAGAAGGTCGAGCCAAGAAGGACGTTGGCAGTCGCCGCGCGGCGCGACTACCTAAGTAATCAATCGGGCTTACTTTGTATGTACCTCAAACCCAAGCAACCCGAGATCAATCCCCGGTCGCATCCGTCCGCTTGACAAAACATCGAGATCAGATCTACTTCAACATCGCTTCCCCAGATTCCGTTGCCGATGGTTAAACAATCTGGGGTAAAGTTGTCCACGGAAGGATTTCTGCCACCAATCACACGATACAACACCAACGATGCTTCCTCCACACTTCCCCGCAAAGTCACGATGGCAATGGCAAACAGCGCGCATGTTCGATAGTCGGCCCGTAGAGGTAAGCGCGACGGAATAATTACAGACTGTAGTAATCGCGTAAAGGGGTGCATTTCGTCAATCTAGTATAAGTACCCGGCCGTTCCGATGGACGGGTTCCCGAATACCAGGTCAATCGTTCTCTGCCGATCAACATGGTGTCTCGTCTGATGCAGTTCCTTGCATTTGCAAGTGCCCTTTCTGTGGTGTCTGCCGACAAGTACACAAGAACAAAGCCCGACCGGGGTGCATTAGTCGTCGATGCATCCGGCGCAACCAACGGCAGCTACCCCAGCATCAGTGCCGCAGTAGACGCACTGCATAACAAGACCGATGCCCAGAAGATCTTTGTCGTCGCCGGAACATACAACGAACAAGTCTACGTCCCCCCTCATGCCGGCCCCATCACCATACAAGGTTCCACGAAGGACGCTCGCGGCTACAAGGACAACGAAGCCACCTTGACATACAATCTCTCGCGCCAAACACCTGGACTTGCCAACAACGACGCAACAGCTACCCTCCGCTTGAACACAACGAACATTCGCATTTACAACCTCAACGTCGCCAACACCTTCGGCGCAGCTGAGAAGAATGGCCAAGCCCTCGCACTGAGCGCGCAGAAGACGAACCAAGGATTCTACGGCTGCAAGTTCACTGGCTACCAAGACACCATCTACGCCAACATCGGGCGCCAGATCTACGCAAAGTCTTTCGTCAATGGCGCGGTGGACTTCATCTTCGGTCTACGCGCCATCGCGTGGTTCGACAAGATCGACATCGAGTCCATCGGCCCCGGTTGGGTCACCGCCAATGGTCGCGAAGCTGAGAACAACACGAGCATCTACGTCTTCAACCAGGTCAACGTCTCCGGTACCAACGGCACGAACTCGACCTTCCTTGGCAGGCCGTGGAGACCTTACTCCAGGGTGGTCTTCCAGGACAGCTATTTGAGTGATGTGGTGAAACCGGAGGGGTGGGCAAGATGGGACGATGTACAGAGTGTGGACAATATTGTTTACCAGGAGTACAAGAACTATGGGCCTGGCGCAAATCCAGAGGCAAGGGCAAACTTCTCCTCGCAGCGGGACTCGCGGATCAAGGCGTCGGATGTGTTTGGGATGAACTTTGAGAAGGAGAACTGGGTTGACGCGGACTACTTGTAGATGTCTCATAGAATCCGAGAGAAGCAGCGTTGTACGATAGACTTGAAAGAGCTAGTAATTATACCACTTGGTGTGCTTCAACCACGGGCCTTATGGCATTGCGTGTTGCGGACATGACGACAATTAATGCCAAAGACACTCATGAAAGGAATGCCTGCATCTGCTGTATATCCAGCATGCCGTTGAAGATCGTGTATTGAAGTGAGTGGTTGTGAACGAAGGCGGTTGGCAGGGTCGGAAAGTCCGATGGCCGGAAGTGGGGCATCCCGTGACCCTGTGCAATAGCCCGTGAGCGCGTTAATTCACGCCCTTCAACTTCGCGCAGAGAAAAGTCACTATGGTGTAGCCAAACATCTCGAATCGTCGATAAGTTCTACTCGCTGCGACGTCTGTATTCGCGATTTGGGAGTTCTCGTCGAAGTCGATGCTGCCCAGGTCGTATCACACAACTTATGGTATACGTCATCATCCGTCTTGGTCGCACACGCTCTACTGCGCATGCACACATTTACAACGGCGATGGAGGCGCTGAGCTTTTTTTTTGCATCTTCCTACAGCTGTCATAGATTAGTAAGAGTGGATTCGTACGGGAAGCAGATGCCGCATCCCCAGAGATCGGCTCTGCGGCTTAATGATGACGTTTTGGCAACATCAGAGGCACGTCAAGGAGGGTGTCTGATAAACGTGCGTAGACATTTCGCTGTGACTCTTTGAAAAGTGCCACTTCATACCTGTGAATTCCCCCAATAGACTCGAAATACACAAAAAACCAAATGGCATCAAGATTCCTCCAGAGCTTCTCGCGCTCAGCGCCCATCGCGAGCCGCTCGCTCCAGCAACGGAGCGAAGGTGACTACCCTCATTCCAAAATAAAAGAACGACAACTAACACCTTCCCTCTCAGTCCTCGCACCAGTCATCACCCGCACATACGCCAGCAGCGCCGCACCCGGCCAATCATCCAACGTCTCCAACCCGCAAGCAAGCAGCGCCGAGAGCCAGTCCATCAACAAGAGCGCCTCAGTCGGCCAGACTGACAAGAACGATGGCGACCACGCATCGATACAAAACCCAGTCAGCCACCCGGAGCAAGACCGAGCAGGCGCGACGGAGGAGACAACGGAGAGTCAGGATAACATGAAGCATGACCCGAAGGAGTCGGATGCGAAGAAGAGGGAGAAGACGCTGAACTATGGGCAGAATAAGCCGCTGGATGCGGCTGATAAGTAGAGCTTTGTAAAAGAAATGGATGGTAATCTGGCGACTCTATGTAGGGTTGGGAAGTGGAAGAACATTTAGAACGATGCTGATGCGACCATGACGCTAAGACCCGTGTGGTGATGATATGAAGGGGCCATTGCTGTTTGAAATCATCTTCCAAGTAGTGGTCATCATTTGCATATACGATGCGGTCAATCATCTCTTTGACGTCTTCGTTGTTGCTCCCAACCTTTTCCGATGGCTGACTATCGGGATTTCTGTACAGGGTAGTGCTGTTCATCGAATGAGTATCGAACTGAAATAGCAATGGTCGGCTTAGCTACATCAGCACATTGTTATGGAGCGCTCTCCATCAGTGAACAACGATTGCCATTCCGTCCCGATGTCGCGGTCGAATGGTGCCCGGAATTGCCCCAGTCTCTCGTATACTCTGTCTTCGTACATGTTTATCTCTCTCAGCAACAAGCCCACCACTATATTGTCTGCATGGACAAGTGCCGCAAGTAGAAACATGCTTCCGTTTTCGGGCTTCTCATTCGGCTCATCCATAGTGACATAGAGACGTTCAAAACCCTCCTCTTTCAAACTTTCTGTGTTTTCATAGCCGATCGGCCCACCCAGCGTCCATTTGATAGGTCTAGACCAGGCTCGAATGGTCAGCAGTATCATCTTCTCCATAAATGGTGTTCGCTCGTTCTTATCCAGTGGAGAAAGCCTGTACTCTTCTGCGATTGCTATAACCGTCGAAGACACTCCAACAAATGGTCGCGTTCTCAGTCGTCCATTCATCGATGCCCAGCTCCATGTTGGCGTGACCACCCAGCTGCCATCCAACATCTGGCTAGAGGACCTGGGCAGCCTTTGTGGTGGCCTTTCATCAGTACGGAATGAATGTCCAGGTGCACGATTTGCTCTCCAGTTCAGACTTTGTGGGAGCGTTTTCCAGAAATGGCCAGCAAGATACGTGTCGTTTAATGCGCAATGCATGCAGCTTGCGATAGCCGAAATAGCAATCAACTTGTCTGCTTGGGGATATGTGAGCTGCCTCGCACTGTAATCCACAAGGATCTTAGACCAAGTATCCTCTAAAGTCCGGCTGTCTAAGGCCTGCGGAATGGAAGTTATTTGAAGACCCAGCGCTTCACTCAGAACTGCCCTCGTAGGATCAGAACAAAGTTCGAAGCCGCGTGGAAGAGATTCGCTTGCGTTTGGGACCCGTGCACAGTCCCAGAAAAGTTCTCCATGGCCAATGCTCAAGACGCGAGTAGCCAACAGGCGTTCTTGTAGGACCCATGCGCGACTTCCGAGGGGCTGTTGATAAAGCGAATGTTGGAAGTACTGGCTTGGTATGACAGTGAAGGCAGGAGGTGTGCCGGTAAAGTCCCCACTCATTCCT